TGATAAGCTTTAACCTGACATGTAAAACTTTATTATTATTTTCTATTAATATGGATTTCAGCATACTAATGCACAATATAGAAAAAATATCAGCTGTATTAATGTAGTCTTTCTATAAAAGGCATATATATTTAATATGGAGTGGGGAGAAGGATTACTTTATACTGGTGTTTTTGACCACCAATGAACACTAATTATTTTCCAGCACTTACTATGACATTCTATGCATGGTTACTCAGAAATAAATCCTACTGAATTAAATAAAATTTACTACCAGACTTTAACCATAGGCTTAATTCATCAATTCAGATAAAAGATACTTAAATGCTTTGTTTGGATGGATCATGCTGATTTAGTTAAACAATGGCAATCCAGCTAGCTTTCTATCTGCAACAGATCCAAATGCAAGATGCCCATACTTAATGGATTTTTCTCCATTCATTTCATTATGTCTGCAATCTGCAAAGGCCACTGTCCAACAGGTTACTTTATGGCGGAAAATTTAGTAAGTTAGCTGTAATAATATTAAGGGGGAGGGGTCTATATAAATATTATTTTATATAAGGATATCTAATGTATCACTAGGTAGAAAATAATACTGTTGTAGCTTCAAAATAAATATTGACTATATTAATCTGTGGCAGAGAATAAAATGGTCGGGCAGAAAAAAATACCAATTATTGGAAAGATACACAAAAAGTGAATAAATTCACATGATTTGAGGGTTTAATGCACTGTAACTAGCGGGACAAGGGCTATGTAACTTGTAGAAATATTATAGGCATTTGAGAGGATAGATTGGCTGTTAGAAAATAAAGTCAGCACAGTAAAATAATTCTAGAACTCATACCTGTAACACCTAAATTAAGGATACTGAAGAAACTATGTGGTTTAGTCAAGGTAGGCCTGTGGAAGAAAATTTGGCAGGTCACCAGAAAGTGCAGACAAAATTGGGATGATAATTCAGACCATACTTGACAATGAATGATGTAGTAAAAACAAAAGGTTACTGTGGTTCACTACAGATAAGAATATAATAATAAAGAACCCTGAACTTGGAAGAAAGATCCAAGGTTGTCACTACAAAGAATGACTGTCTCTCAACAAGACTGCACAGATTTTTCTTGTACAAAAGCAAAGAATCTTGTTGTCAATACTGCATTTTAAACTACTGTTTTCTTTCATGGATCTTTCTTCCACATAGGGGAAAATGGGTTCTGTGCACAGAACACAGGATGACATGTCTATTTTCCCATGCATAGACATAAGAACCACATTAAGAAAGTTAAATAAATCTGATCTATGTGGCTTCCAGTCTATTTCTGGAACCAGTATAAATGGTTGCATTAATCTTTACACTCTTCAGCAGCTTGTGACCTGCTTTCCTGAACTTCATCTCAGTTTTAGTCTATTCTTATTCCATATTCTATTTTGTTTTGTTATTTTGTGGTTTTAGGGTATGCAGACAGTATTTTTTTATAGTGTATCAGATAAATATTGTAAACAAAGTAAAATTGTTGCTTCAAATTTAGTGCTTCAAAATACTGAAAAAAGGGAATTGATTTCCAGGAAGAAAATCAATTATGGTGCTAGTGCGTAATCCAGGGGGATCTCCTGGATTCATGGCTCCTGCTCAAAGAGAGGTGGCAACTCTGGCTAGGAGAGCCTTTGAATAAATACATCTTGTGCACCAGTGGCCCCCTTTCCTAGATTGTAGAGCACATTGCAATAGTCCAATTGGGAGGTGGCTAAGGCATGAGTGACAGTGACCAGTGCCTCCCAATCTAGGAAACGGGGCCTGCCTTTGAAGAGCATTTGTAAGCTGCAGCTGGTCCACAATGAAGCAACATGGGCAGTAGTGAGCCCACTGCCATACACCCATGTAACACCACCATTGTTTGAGCTGCACTGGTTCCCAGTAACCTTACAGGTGCAATTCAAGGGGCTGCTTGTCACCTTCAAAGCCCTACAGGCATAGGGCAAGGTTACTTGTAGGACAGCCCATCCCTGATGGTTTCTACCAGTCCCACTAGTTTGACAAGGTGGGCATATTCCGAGTGCCCTTGGTGAAACAGCGTCACATGGCCAAATCTCGTAAATGTGCTTTCAGACACTGGGTCCAGGATGTTGATAGAGCTGGGTGATTGATAGATGCAAATTTGGTGTGATAGATGCAAATTTTATTGGAACCTCAGCATTGTTTTTTTGTTTCAAATGTTATTTTGTTTTAATTTTGTTTTTTATTCTTGTTTGCTGCACAGAGTTCTTTCTGGTAGACAGGTGGACATATTTGTTTAATAGACAAATAATAAAAAAGATAATTATCCAAACAGAAATGGAAGCCCTTCACTGGATGCATTCAAGTGCAGGCTAGACAGCCAACTGCTGGGAATACCTTAATTTGGATTCCTATACTTAACAGAGGGGTTGGATTCCATGGTCTAAATGGCTCCTCCCAATTCTATTACTCTCTTATTCTAAAAGCTAATAAAAGATTGCAGAAAGGTACGATTCCTTGTTCAATTGGTGCAGAAATATAAAATGACATATATGACGTGCAAGACTGCCCAGCAGAATTCAGATATATTTGCAAGGAATTTCTGATACACTGGACCAAATCAGTTAGCACACATTATTTGGGTTACAGATTTATCCTCATGGTCTCATGTAATTGAATTAATAGTATAATCCCTTGTAACGTATTCCCAAGTGGACACTTACCGATAAATATCTATCTCTAATGCTTCCATATTATCACTGTTATCTTGGTGCCACTCTGCATTGATGCTATTCCCTTTTTCTTTGTAAATCACTGCTGATGTATGACAGCCAGGTACTATTTCCAAATTGTTTGGGGGTTGCTTGATTGAAGATTCTAATTTACTCCTAATACAGCTATTAGCTATCATAAATGTGTGTGTGTGTGTGTATGTATTATGTATCTGTCTGTCCGTCCATCCATCCATCCCAGATAAAAGTTCAGCTTAGTCCAAGATCTTGTTTTCAACAACTGACACAGGATGTTTCTGAGACACCTACATACTGGATGTAAAGCAAAATCTCTCCCCTACCGAATATTTCCAATAGCCTGTGATAGCAGTTTTTATGTTAATTATACATGCCATACAACTTTTTAATATATGAATGCAAAAAGAATAGCTACATATGTGCCCTTATTGCTCTTTTTATTTGTCCTATTAGGTAGGACCTGTAAATTTCAACCATTGTAGACTGAAATTTTTATCGCAATAGGACAAATCATAACTTTGACTATTATATTGGACCTTGATGTCCTTTTTTAAAGCATATTTTTTCATAACCCAAATGATACTTTAAAACATAAAAATTGATAATTTTTTTTGTTGGTTGCAGGTAGTACATGAACTTGGAAAATAGGGAAGAATTTGAATATTGAATATTTGAATAAGTTAGAAAACTGCTCTAATGAAAAAGTGGGCAAAAAAGGTCATCAATATTATGATAATAGAGATGATTATTTTTATTGTATCTGGTTTAAACGCATGATTGTTTACTATTCAGTTTTAGGTTCCTAGATAAACTAAATAAAATTATATGTATTCTAATCTTATATTTTCTTCACAGTATGGTAAATAAAATTAAATAAAGGAGTTGAAAAAAACCCAAAGAATCTTTCCAGTTTGACTAAACTGGCATAATTTTGATTAATCTGCAAAATTGGCTAATTCGGTATCAGTTTATGATCCCAGATCATCTATATAAAATAGTTTTTATCTGTATCTGCATAGTTCACACAAAATGTCCAAAGTTTATTCCCATATTCTCCCTGTTCTTCCAACTAAGACTCCTCTTTAACCCATAATTGTTATACTTTTTCTAAAGCCCATCATTTTCCCAGAAAGGATCTGTCTGTATGTTTCTCTTAGCTTCTTACAGAAAAGAAGCAAATGATTTATATTCATGTTCAAGTTCCTATGTCAGTGGTGTACAATCTATGATCCCAGAACTGCATGTGATATTCCAAAGGCTTGGGAAAATCCCTATACTCCAAAAGTTGCTGCCAAATCAAAATTAAAGGGGCAATTATCACATTATTAAATTAAATTTAGTTTTTGTCTTTCCCCTGTTCATGAGTTGAAGCCAGAAGGACAGCCCATGCTTTGCTTTACTCTGAAATTTGCTTCCATGTGTTGCTCTGGCTGGCTACTGAGTTATATCATACTCTATTTTTTGTTGGTATTATAAGGAAAAGTTCTTCCCATTTGCAGAAGAAAGTTTTTTGGCACCAGATATGGAACAAATGTAAAAAGTATACTACCTACAGAGGCATGGTTGAAGTCTGAGGTAGGAAATATGTATGAGTACAGAAGTACACATGCTGTTCCAATTCCACTACCAACATTGTGCTCTTCTAGTAGCGCTGCTCATCTATTTTCACTAGAACAGTGGCATTGGTGGTGGGGGTTTCTACCCAGCTACACCTCCTGATGCCCTCACCAATGCCATCCTCACAACGCTCATTACGGCCTGACTGGAGGGGAGCACAAAGCCCAGCATCCAGCATTGGATTCTCCCTTCCAATCCTGTTTTCACAAGGGGAAAAAAGGTTGTCAAACACAGTGGTGAAGTACCATAATGTATTGACTTTAATTGGGGACGGGGTGGGAGATAACCAATCTATTTAAACAATTTGGTAAAACAGCAGCAACGTACTGGCATATTTAGGCTCCAGCAGCACACACAAGGTGAGAAGTGCCAAGGGGAAATTGCTCCACTGCATATCCAGTGTTAATACAGCAAATATTTTCACTTTGCTTGCACCACCAGCAAACTGAAAGCTAACTGGCTCAGAAGAACCCCCAGTGTGGTGAGAACACAGACTAATCTCAGACTGGTGCATCAGGCCCAGAATATATTGATCCTAGTGTTCCACCCCCAATTCTGCCAAACCCACAGCTACCCAACTGACAAGTACCATTCATGAAATGATTTTCACATAATGTTGATTTGGAATTCGTCTAGTTTATTTTCAGTAGTGAAGAGTGTATGATCTCAAAGCACAAGGTCGTGCTGAATGTTTGGATCTATACAGTAATTTGTCGTTTAGCTCTATTTCAACCATCGCACTTAAAATTTATTTTGTAAGCTGTCTTGAAAAGGCATCATTGAGCACGTAAGATTCTCTGCTTCACCTTCTACACTCTTCCATTTTCTCGGTTCACTAACACGCGCTGGAGGCACTGTAATCCACACCTGCATGGCAAAGCTGGCATGGCCCCTTGTGGCGAGGGGGAGCGAAGGGGGAGTAGGCACGAGTGGCAGTCTGGCCTTCCCAAGAGACCGCCCCCTCTTCTAAAGCTCCCCTTCAGACGCGCCGCTGGGAAGGCTGAACGCGAGCCGCAGCTCTCGGCGACGGCGCCCTCCTGCCGTCCCGGTCCACCTGCTTGTACAGCACAAGGTGCCCGCCCGTCTGCGCACCACTCAGGCGCTCTCTCCCCCTCCGGAAGGAGGTAAACTGTACTCCTCCTAAGGGGCTACGCGGTCCTTCCCGGCTTGCTGCTGATTTCAAGGGAGGAGAGCGACCTTTTCCCTTCCACGTCCCCACCTGGTGGTGCCTTGCGCGTCCCAGGACAGGCTCCTATGGTGAGGAGGAGGAGCAGAAGCCGGGACTGGGGACCGCCGGCGCCTCCCGTCTGGCCGGGCGGCGGCGGCGGCGGCGACAGTAGCAGGAGGAGGAGCTGCAGCGGCGGCGGCGCGGAACTGGAGCAGCTGCCCGCGAACATGGCGGCGGCGGCGGAGCAGCAGCTTTCGGAAGCCTTTGCCGTCGCCGCTCCTCTCCCCTTCAGCAGTGGCGGAGGGAGCGCGGGCGGCGGCGGCGGCGGGTCTGTGCCGGTGCTCTTTTGCTTCTCGGTCTTCGCCAGGCCTTCGACGGTGCCTCACGGCTCCGGCTACGAGGTGCTGATACAGAAGTTCCTGAGCCTCTACGGCGACCAGCTCGACATGCACCGCAAGTTCGTGGTGCAACTCTTCTCCGAGGAGTGGAGCCAATACATCGACCTGCCCAAGGGCTTCCTGGTGAACGAGCGGTGCAAACTGCGCCTCGTGCCGCTGCAGATACAGGTGGGTGACGGCGAAAAAGAGCAAGGGAGCGCGCCCTGGCGTGCACGGCTGTGTGTCTCTGAGTGAATGCAAAACAGCGCCTCCTGGGAAGCCTGGCGCAACCATTGAAGTGAAGGCCCTCTCACCGTCTGGCGGCCAGTGGGAGGCTCCCACACCCATGTTGCGCTGGGAAAGGAGAAGATGAAATCCGCCGGGGAGCAGCAGAGTGGTCAAAGCCAGCCTGCCTGCTTTCTGGAAGTCAGTTTTGGTTCCCTTCAACAAAATGGCTGCATTTGTTGGGTTGCACCACAGCTGTGTTCCAACACCCTGAACCATTAAATAGCCAACCACAGTTTGGCCTAGTATGTTGAGCCAGTCCATTCTGGCTTATAGTTCCATGGGCTGTGAACCCTGAGAATTGGGACAATCATAAATATGCATGTTGTGTGAACACAGCCGACATGTGAAGTGTAACATGGTTATGGCATAGAGCATTTTAGAAACTCAGTCTTTCTGGTTTGTACACTGGTTTATGGTTTAGTATGTTGGGTGGATTTAGCCAGTTGTAGCTTATTCAGCACATTGGTTGAACCCAATTCATTGGCTGCCAGCACCAAATGAACAAGAAACGTTCATAATGATCCTGAGGGCTCACGCCCACAGCCTCCTTTTTCTGGGTCCAGGATAACTCGCTTACCTTTTACAGAGGATGTACCTTCACAGCAGAGGCTCCACTTCATTGCTAGCCTATGGTTGAGGCAAACTAAAGCTGGGTCAAGCTGATCCAACAGGAAAGTGGTGTTCTCCATGGTGTGCAGCCATTCTGTGCCATGTGAGGAGGAGCCTGGAGGTCAGTGATCCGCAGGGTTCTTGGCCTGCTGCAGGACCACCCTCTCCCCTTGCATTTCAGCAGCCCCTTGCATTTCAGCCAGCAAGGGGAACATTCACTTCTACAAAATCACTCTGTCCCCGCTCTGTGCAGCCCAGCATTACCTCTGCTACAGCTTCCCTTGCTTTGTGGCCTCATTGTTCATCTCATTTTGCTGCTTTCCCTCCCCCTCACCCCACAAAGCGTAGATTCTTCATCTTTCCCGCTCCTCTTTCCTTTGTTGTATCTACCCTTAACCCTTGCCCTTTCCCCTCACCTCTGTGCTTTCAGGAGAGCACCATCACTACCTTCAACAATAGCAGCTGCAGCTAACTCTTGGAAGGATCTGCACTTGATTAGGTGCTGCTGTGCTCTCCAGCAAGCGTGGAGGTAAAAGGAGAGGAGTAGGCAGGGGGGAATATTTGTGCTTAATCCAGGAGGAGAGTGAGGCAGGCAGCAGAGAAGAACCCCATTCCCTGCTTGGGAGCAGCTAATCACCATTATGTGAGGGTGGCATCTCTACTGACCTTGTTCATAAGATTCAGTAAGAGGAACACTGAGATTCTCAATCAGTGATTTTCTTCCAGTTTTAAGGATAGGGGTAAAGCGCATCAGTGGATGAAGCTGGATGTGGCTTGACTATTCCAAGATCACACTTTAATGACAATTATAAATGGCAGAGGGAATGATAGTTTGCCATAGAAGGAAATCTTGGCCGAAGTGCCTTGTGAATAGGGGATTTCCTAGCTCTCAACATCCAGTTTGAACCATCTGAATTGGTGTCACTGATTTTATTGGGGTTGTTTCTTAGTTCTGCTACTGATAAGGTTCTCTCAGTTGGTCACACCAGGCTACTGGAAATGCCTAAGCTTTTAAACAAATTGTTAGTCCTGTTAGCCTAAGGCTGTTCTGGAAGGTAGTCTTAATCCAGAGTAAAAGGAAGAATTTTCAAATTCAGTAGTGGCTGGTAGGACGTATCCACATAGAAAAGGGAATTACAGGTAGTCCTTGACTTAGGACAGCAATTGGAACTGGAATTTCCATCACTAAGCAATGTGGCTGTAAAGCATAACCGCATCGCTTAGCGGCAGCAATCCCTGCAGTCCTGATTCAGTTAACTGAATCTCAAAGTCGTCAGGTGAGGCAACTTTCTGGTGGCTTCCCACAGCCCAGTCAGTGGGGAAGCTGGCAGGAAGTTGCAAGTCCCAGGCCCACAGGCAGATAAGTGGCTGCTAGAAAGTAAACATCTAGAAAGTAGAAAGTAAATATATTGGTAGCTTCAGTTATTCAGCTTTTCTCTGTGATAGCATGTGTTGTTCTTTAGAGTTCCACTGCTTCTGATTATTAAAATAAGATGAACAGAGGATAGTGGATGTAAAAAACTATGACGTATTTGCTTGACAAGCCTATGTGGGATTTAGAGATAACCTTACTTGTACCCAAGGGAGTACTGTTATATCGGGTTAACAAGATAAAACCTGTTCTCTTTCCATTCCTCTTTCCTTTTCTGTAATATATCTTCCAAGGGCTAAATTATATAGCATTTTTAGATTTTGTAATAGAAGTCTGCCTTTACATACCTGCTTTTTGTAATACTTACATGCTTACATTCAGAGTTGCATAAAGAAGTATTTAGTATTGTTTTAAAATGAACTTCTTAATTAATTTCAGTAAACTTGGAAGTCAGATATATGTATGACCTGTGTTTTTGATTTTGCTTGATTGCTGATATTGCAGATACACTGTTTAATTACAGTTTGTGAAACAATGATTTAATTAATAACACAAGTTAAATTAGCACTATTATAAACATATTATTTTCAGTTTCTTAAGAACTGTAACTAGGGAAAAGTACCAGACATGTTAGAATAGTCAGTGTCTGGTGCACTGAACTAATGGACCATCGTCAAGATCTAGTGACTGCTTATATAGTAATGAAATCAAATTTGATATTGACCAGAATCTGAAATATAAAAACAAGCCAGACATAAAACAGTACAGCTGACTTTATTTTTTTTAGGCACGTGAAACACCAGTACTTCAGTTCTGTGCTTGTTCTCTTTCTTCAGAAGTAAAACCCTTACAACATAGTCCTGTGAATGTTTACTCAAACAAAAGTCTATCTGAGTTGAATCAGTCCTACTCCAAAATAGGTTTGTTTAGAATTACAATCTAAACATTTTAATTAGCATTCATATTTTTAGGGATATTTTTATTGAAATTAATGGAATATATTCCAGGTTAATATGGATAGCATTTTCAGTCTGTTCAGCTGTTGCAGAGTTTAGTTATCATAAAGATCACTTTTATAATTGCTTACCAGAATAGATAGGCAGGTCATAAATCAAATTAATGTTTATGTATTAGTAATATCAAACAAGTATAAAACTTGTGAATGATTCCAAGGAGAAAAAGTTGTGATCAGGAAATAAGAGAAATGTGTTGAGGCAAACAGTCATAGTGAGTATCAGAGATTTTCACATGCGTACAATCGCTGTTACATAGGGAAGAGAGTGGATTTTTTTCCTGGCAGCAACTCCTCATGCTGTGTGAGATGCTTCTGTGGAGGTTCCCTGGACTTTCTTTGAAGTAAGGGAAGCCACACTCCTCTGTGCACATTCATTTGTTAGATTTCTATTTCCCCAACTTAAGGGCGGAGTTGTACCTGAATCACTGCGATCCTAGTTTAGCGTCTCCAACACTACATCACAGTGGCGCACTTGTGATGCTTTGGATCAGAGCATTTCACTGAAAACATTTGTGATGAAAAAACAAGATAAATACACTTGAACAGACATATTTGAATGAAAAAAACACCGAATTGCTAAACTTAGAAAAGTAATCTTTGCTTTCTAAGCACCTTAGCAACACACTTATAATATGTGAAAACATCTTTTTTATTATTTGATTTTCATGTAGTGTCTTATATTTAGCCACCAAGAGTTGCTTGATTGCAATGGATTTTTTTAAAAAAATCTAATCAATAAATAAAATGTTTCTTTAAATCCCAAAGTGTGCTAGGTTCATCTAATAAATCATTTATGCATTTTTAGTATGGTATACAGGCACAAATGTTTTTGGATTAATAAACAGTATATACAAAATCTTAATCTCAATATATAATTTCATGACTATTTAAAAGTTTTGTGGTCACTAGGAATTGCAAACAACATGATGGCACATAATCAGTTAATCAGTAGTTGCCTTGAGCTTATGAATCCAGGCACTTTCTGCTATCCAGATATAATTTTTTATATAAAAAAATTACAAAGAAGACTGTTGTCTTCAGTTTCATCTAGAATGGAGCTCTATGAAGTAGTAATTGCAGCATAACTTGAGTTTTGTCATACATTCAGCTTAACATTTTGTAAATATTTTCCAATCTTGGAAAAGTCCAAAGTCCTCTAGGACTTTGTGTTCGTAGCTGGTGCTCCCCAGACATGTTGTATTACAACTCCCAGAATTCCTACCAGGATGCTTAATGCTATGTATATGTTACAGTGCATTATGAATATATATATACACACACACACACACACACACACACAAAAGAAGAGCTGCTTCTTAAATAACATATTAAGGAAGTCTGGTTTACCTGGTGCCAATAGGATGACTTAAGGTTCCTCTTTAGTACACTATATTATTTTCAATCTGGCAAGTTACAATCGCAATAGTTCAGGAAATTCTTCTGATTCCTTTTTCAAAGCTACATTTGTCTTTATCCTCTTATTTTCCAGATGTTTTCCTTTTTTTTTTTTATTAAATTGGGGTTTTAAATTGCCATTACTAATAAATAATATTTACTGTATTTTTCCATCTATAAGACGATACTTTTTTCTAAAATCGTTACACTAAAAATTGAAGGGCGTCTTATGCAAGGAAGTAAGCCGAGGAGAGAACCGCGCGGTTATGAAACTGCCCATACTTTGTCTCTCCAAACAGGCTTCCTCCTATCACTAGCCTCCAATCACGAGTGAAATAGCTTGTCTCTGCAAACAGACTTCCTCCAATCACGAGTCTTATGTAACTGACATCAGCTG